TATATAATAGATAGAAAAAAATTTATCTAGCTCTAAGCAAATTCTTTTCAGTAAGAAAACAAAACAAAGCAAATCCTTCCAGGAAAGTCTGTATGGTTGTGTGAGACAAATAAGCAAACATACCATTTTATAGTGTACTTTTGGCAGAATCTTAAAATAAAAATGTCCACACTCTTTTTTTAAAACATTAAGCCTCTGTCAAAAATGTATTTGTTATTTTAGGTACAGGATTTGAAGGACAAGGTGATACAAGTAAAGAAAATTTACAAGAAAATAACTTGACAAAAGTCTTCCAATTAAAGAACTGTGACATTTAAACTTGACTTAAAAGAAACAAGATTGCAAACAAAAATGTTTATGGATTTTCCAAACATAAATAAATGAAATAGTGTTTAGGCAGTAGGGCTCATGCTGATGGCTAGCTGGAAGTAACAGAGTGTAATCTACTTGAAAAAAAAAAATCTTCAATACACAAATAACAGGCCCAAATGATGGATGCCATTTTTCTTACTTCCAATAAACCCTTGGTTAAAGCATTCACACCCTATATTACTCATACCTTTACTTCAGAGATTGAGGACTATATACAACAAATGAATTTATTTTCACCATAGGGATAACATAGTGTACCTCTCTGCCAATGTTCCTTGAAAATTTTCCATGTCAAAACAATTTGACAGCAGATATAAACAATTAAATAAATACGCAATGATCTTTCTCACAGTCCTTTAAAAGACGCATGTTAATCATGCTGTTAGCCTTAGGATCACAGTGCATAGAATCCAAATATAAACAGTTGGGGAGACTTTCAAAGTAACGTTGGATCCCTCGCTTTACTTATAATCCCACGATAACCGATAAATTCATTTCATGGGCCCTATCATGCATTAATCACTGAGTGGCAGGAGTTAATGAAAACTTTTCCTGTTACAATGTTCATTGCCGGCAATGAACATCCCCAAACCACCAAGGAAGTCACTGTTATTGCACAATACATGAGGACCTGGAACTTTTCCAAAAGCTTAAAAAAATAAAATAAAAAATGGAATTATATTTGACGTTTCCTGACATCTGCATTCATACTGTATGACTAATAAAGCATGTCAGTTGCCTGGACTGAACCAGCGATCAACATGCGCCCAGAATGCACACGAGTAAAATGCAGTCAGAGGAAGTAGTCTTCATTGCCTATAGGTCACTTCCAGTCAAAGGTTAAAGTTCAAAGACTGAAGATCAAAGTGCTCATTTTCTCAGTAGGACTATCTTCTGCTAGGAGGATGGTAACAGTGGCATCAGCAAGTATCATCTTTAAGAAAAGGAGAAAAAAGAATTAAAAAGTTAAGCATGTATCAAGAATATCTATAAGTTAGTTTAATGTGGAAATAATTTCAAGTAGCAAAAACGCAGCTAGTCTCTCTGACTTGCCTTCCCCAATCTTTGCAAATAAAAAGTCCAATTGTGATGAAGTATATAGTGATAAGAAAACCAAGCTTTATTCTATCAAGGAGATGATGCGTTGTCACACAAACATTAAAATGATATATTATTAGTATATTAGTTCTATTTAGAACAGTAAGTTGATATAATGTAGCACATATTCAGGAATATTAATCTTAAGATAATTGCCTTATGAACAACAACTTCAAATCATAACAAGACAGGAAGTCCTGACCAACACTGTCATGCTATTTAACAAAAACTAGTATTTTTTGGTCTATGAGGTAAGTCTCCTTCAATGATGAGACAGAATTTCTGAATCAATGGGCATTTAATGCTGCTGTTAATTTCCCTTTAGAAAACTAATTTTCCACAAGTCACAGATACATATGCAAAAGTCACTTAAAATTCCCTCCCAAGTTATTTTGTAATGCCTCACCACACTGCCTTTGGCGCCTTATGACCCATTTTACAAAAGAGATTTCACAAAACATATCTGCGGGATTTCATCATTTTGAGAAGTAGTTATTTTTTCAGCAAGAAACTTCAGGAACAAGACTAGTTGGCCACTGTCAAGAGTTATGAAAGCTTTTAAAGGAAAAATTCAGAAAATACTAGCCAAAATATAAACAAAGTCAAGGCTGACAAACTGCTAATAAAATTTCCACTCAAAAAGACTAAGTTAAAACCAAAAACTTTAAGTGAAGTCTAACTGTTGGAAATTCATAGAGAATTACATGATCTTATAATTTAAGGGAATGTACATGACAAAATGGACTAAATTTAAAAAAATAAATCATGAGTTGGTGATACAGGTCCGTGGTATAGTGTTTTCCTAGCAAGCTCCCTGGGTGCAGCTTAATAACAAAGCATGCGCATGACCCTAGCTGTTCACGCCCAGCATCAGAAATAGACAAAACAGCCTGGCAGATTTTGAGTAAGTAGTGAGCCTGTTACATGGCAAGACCCTGTTTCAAAACAAGACAAAACAGGGGCTGGGGAGATGGCTCAATGGTTAACTGTTCTCCCAGAGGACTGGAGTTCAGTTCCCAGCACCCACATCAGGTGGCACACACAACTACCTATAATTACAGCTCCAAGGGTTCCAATGTTCTTTTCTGGCTCCCAAGAGCACCCACATAAATTAAAACAAACTTTTTTTTTTTTTTTTTCTTAAGACAGGTTCTCATGTAGTTCAAGCTGGTTTCAAACTCACTATGTTGTCAAGGCTAGCCTTGAACTCCTGATCTTCCTGCCTCCGGCTCCAAAGTGCTGGGATTAAAGGTATGTGCTATGACACCTAGTTTCCATTAAAACCCTTTAAATAAAAAAGAACACTGAAGAAGAAAACAGTTCATATCCTTTTAAGTTTCACATCAATGTACCAGTTTCTATGGATGTGCAAGAAGATATTTTCTGCGGATGTAAAATAAACAGGAATATAAAGAAGTTTCTCAAAATACCACCTGTTTCTCAAATAAATTTTTTTTTTTTTGAGATGGGGGTCTTGCTAAATTGTCCAGACTAGGCTTGAACTTGCTATCTTCCCACACTAGCCTCCCAAGCAGATGAGATTACAGGATTGTGTCCAGCTCAATAAAGTATTGTATATAGTACTATTTATAGGAAAACATACTACAACTAGTTAGACAAATCTCTAAGCTACAGTGTGGTACTGAATTATACCTAATATGCCATACTGTTCGGATAAGCTTTAAAATGATCCCAGATGACAATATACATTAAAAAAGAAAGGTGACAGCATTCAATCAAACATACTATTTAGCAAGCCAGAAATAAGCCTGTTACCTAAGACAAACATCTGCTTTAGAGAGCAGTATCAACTGACTTTTACTTAAATGACTGTTCACTGTGGAAGGTTTTCAGCACAGCAGGCTTCTCCAGAAAGCCCTATTAAAGTGATTATGAAATCCCTGAAGTTATTCTCTACATTTCAACCTCCATCTTGGATCAGAAGTTAAAATAAATTTAGGTCTGATACAGTTCTACCTGCCTTGAACACCTTAGAATTAGGGAAAAAATTTATTAAATTCTAAACTTGGAATTCAGTGACCTCTAAGAGCAGGACTGCCAGGGACTTAATTATAAATCCATGATAACTCTATGTTATCAGAAGTCTGTAAACAAATTCTAAGTATGAACAAAAACGTGTAAATCAAAGTCATGACCATGCTTTCCAGAACTAAGAGGTTAAACTCTTCAAGGAACATAGTTTACTATGTGCAAAAATTATTTGATACTTGGACGGACGGATGGATGGGCGGGCGGACGGACACACGGACACACACACACACACACACACACACACACACACACACACACACACACACACACGATGTTGAAGTAAAACCCAATCATGGGTCAAGACAAACATAGGACTATATAAGGTTTTAACCTTTTGGCTAAAATATCTGTGGTAACATAGGATCGAGAAAACAATCTCATGCAAACATCTCAATCGTCTCTGGAACTACAAAATCCAACTAAAATCACACTGTCAAGTAACATAGAAACTGCAAATTCCAAAGAAGTGACATTTACTGCTGCTAACCACTAGACTTCTGGAAAATGTGAGAACTAGAGGAAGGTCATTTAAGTTTTCCTCAGAATTACAAAAACTATATTACCCTGGAAACTGGCCCCCCTAAATATCACCAAGGACACAAGACTAGAAGAAAAGAAACACAGTAACATGAGTCCATAGATATGAAGTGGAAGGCCGACAACAAAACAGACAAAATATTTATAAGTTTTGTCTTCTCATACTGAGATGTATCTGTAACGGTTCTTGTAATCTATATAGGTTATTTTACAAATCTATGTATAGAAGCAAGTTTATTTTGAATATCTCATAACCTTGAATATTCAATGAGACACCCCCCCATGACTTTGGTGAGCATAGAAAGTTCACATCCTCACCAATGCGTATTTGGGCTGTGATAAAGTAGCTGACTATATCCA